TTCCTCGTTTATTGAGGGGAAATTCTGATTTCAACCCTAACTTTTATAGGTTTGGTTAAAAAGGAAAAGATGGAAGTCTTTCGTTTATCGAAAGGGATGACTTGATCTTAGTCCTAACTATCTGCAGGTTTGACTAAGTGAGGTCGGAGACAATCCTAACTTTAATAGGTTTGATTGCTCAAATTGAAAATTGACCTCTCGTTCATGGAAAGAATCGAGAGAGGAATCTGGCTTTTGCCCTAACTTTTATAGGTTTGACCTGAAAGTAAAGAGAGAGGTATACCAGAAGCAGTAGAAATACTGGTTTGTACTAGCCACTCGATGGAGGATTTTGACGTTAAGTGATCAGGACTTAACACGTCAAGCTTTGAAAATTGCCATGAATTGGCGGATAGAAATTTTAGTGGACCCACCGTCAATTGATTTGATCAGTGGGGGGATTTTTGTGAGGAAAGGTTGATCTGTGTCAAACACCAATAGGAGTTTTGTGAGGGAAGATTGATCCAACGAAGCGATCGAATCTCGTCTCAGCAAAAGAGTGTTCGGAAATCACAGTGGGGGTTTAGTGTTTATCACTTTGTTTGTAATGATCGGGTTATCCCTAAGAAAATTACATATAGTATTCTTCCGGGAACTTCCCGTTTCATGAATCATCCACCCCCCAGCTTCTTTGCGAAACTGGGTTACATGATCGGGTTATCCTTAAGAATATTACATATAAAAATTCTCTGTATGCCCTTGGATCCATGTCATATATCTCTTTCATGTACTCATTCCATTCTGCTATTGTGTATTTATAACAAACACTTTGGAGTAAGTTCCCAAGAACATGAGTGTCCTTCGACTTCATACCCAAGTCCTTAAGCTTTAACCTGAAATTTTCAACAAGATGTAGAACACACCTCGAGTGTAGAGCTTCTGGAAAATACTCTTTTACTGATTCTTTAATTCCTTTGTCCGCATCAGAAATTATAACCAATTGGTGGGGAGGATTGTAAGGGTCAGCCCTCTCATAAAGTATGGACCATAGACCTTGGAGGAACCACTTCCAATTCATCAAATTCTCTTGATCACATATGCAATACGCTAAGGGAAATATACCTTGGTTCCCATCGTATGCTATGGCCGAGAGGAGAATACCTTTATATCGATCCTTCAAAAATGTACCGTCCAAAAATAGAAGGGGTCTGCATCCACTCAAGAAACCTTTGATGCATGCAGCATAACAAACAAAGAGTCTCGAAAACCTCCCCTCATTCTGGTCAACATGTATGTAACTGCCGGGATTTGTCTCTTTTACCATGCGCTCATACCTAGTCGTGTAAGAAGAAACAAACCAACAAGTTAACATGTTATCCGTGTAGCTTAACAAGCGACCAAAAAAAGCTAACACATTATTGGGGTAACTTAACAAAAGTTAACATGTTATTTACAAGAGTTAACATGTTAGTCGTGAAACTTAACATGTTATCAATGTTATCAATGAACTTAACAAGGAACATGTTAACTATTTGTTTTAACAAGCAAACTTTGAAACTTAACAAGTTAATAATAAAGCTCAGCATTTACCATCGTAGTTGATCATACGACTCATATATATCCCCGTAAAGCTTCTCCTGTGCTCTCTCTTTCCCCCACCATATCTTACTGTAATCAATTCTAAGGCCGTAGTTTGTGAGGAACTCCTTTTGCACATCAACGGGTCGGATTTCTGGACGGACCTTCAGGAGTGGTTGTAACTGTGTTGCAATGAATTTACGGGATGCCCTTGAACGACCTGTATTTTGCCCGTACTGCCCACAAGTATGTTCATTAACAAACTTCTTGATCGATAGTCTATTTGCATTCTTAACAGGTGAAGCAAACAACATCCATGGGCACTCGTAAGTTTCTTTATATCGGCAATATACACGGATACGTTTTGGTTCGTTCTTTTTAAACTCATAATCAAACATTTTGGCCAGAGAATAGTATGTCAGCGCCAACCTTAATTCTTCAGCACTTTCAAATTCTTGACCCTCTTCAGTTAATGCATTATGCCACCAACCAGGAATCATTACTGTGTTGTTAATAATGTCATCAGAACGCACTACACTGCTACCACTGGGATTATCAATTGGAATTCTTTCAGAACCATGGTTTGCGGCAGAAGTACTATCAATAAACTTTGGCTTCAGTGTATTCATAATGCTGCACAAATATAATTGGTTTTTCTTAAAATAACAAATAGGACTTGTACTTAAATAATGCAGTACCCTTAAGAGTTAACAAATATGCCCTAAAGCTTAACAACCTTCGGTAGAAAGTTAACATATATCAGTTAAAAGCTAACATTTAACCTGCTCTATGCAATTCATAAGTTTTCAAATAAATTAAGTGTAAATATAACTTACATTTCAGGAGGTTGCTTCGGGGTGTTCTCACATCTGGAAACATCTACATCTATATTAGCTCGAATATGGATCTCCAGACACCCGATATTACGGTTGTGCTCCACCATACACTCCATATCATCCTCATTCTCGATCTCAAAACTCAGATCAGGGATCCTTTCAGATTTATAAACCATTGATAGCGCATCATAAGGAACCTTCAACCTCTCAGCCACGTCGAACTTAAACTCAAAAAAAGAGGTTGCAGAAGTTACCCTTGAGAACACTGCTCTCTCACCCAAGGAAACCATGCAAATAAGGGGGCTCTCCGCCATAAATGAAGGGGATTTAAGAGGAGTTATGAAGGGCACTTTAGGACAAGTAGGGGGCTGAAGATCATAAGCCCTAACCGCAAAGATCTGCCCTTTGCACCATAAATACACTCTCTTCAAAGCCGAGTGGGTTAACAGGAGATATAACGGAGGGAGCGCGCCAAAATTTCCCCCCAAAACGGCCATCATCTCGCCTTAAATGCGACGGAGAGGTTTCGCCAGCGATCGGATCTCGTTTTCGAGGCACGGAGTTGAAGGCGGGGGTATTTTAGGGAGGCTGGGTGCAAATACGGGTGTGAGAACTGCTTTTAGGGCCCAGTTACATTTTTTTGAAAATTTAAGGGCTTAGCCACATGGGCCAAACTACAGGGGGCTGGGCCACATTGTTTTTTCAAGTTTGGGGCCTTGAAGCAATTTTTCCTTCTTTTTAAGCTCTCAAAAGAAAAGAAAATGAAAAGAAACAAAGCTGAGAACCTGCTCTCAGTTCTCAACAGTGGCTCTTCTTCTCCAAAAGAATCCCTGTCAAAGAGAAACAAACTAAAACCCTTACCAACTTCCAATCCCTCTTCAGAACATCTCTTCCTCCTCTTAAAACGTTCATGTAGCATCTGAACTTTTCCTGTGGCATTGGTGGAGAGGAAACAGAGTGTTTCCCTATGCTATTTTTAGAGAGAAGACATGGAATAGCGGTTTGTAGCGAGGAGGAATCTTGCACGAACTCTTGTTTGGAATTTTCAGCGGCATTGAGGCAAGATTATCCTCATCCAAACCTTCTCTAGTTGAATTTATGGCAAGTTAAAAATGAGATATTTTCATGCTTGAGTTTAAACTGTTGTTTTAAAACAAATTAGTTCTTGATGATAAATGTTAATCAAATGCTAGAACTTTAATTTTGTTTCCTCATTGTTGATATTATATATATATATATATATATATATATATATATATATATATATATATATATATATAAAACAAAAACTTGTATGTGTGTATGTGAATGAGCTTGAAGTATGTACACACAAGTATAAACCTAAAACTAAATTACCCAAGCTATCTTGATCTTCAATATGGCTCGACTTGGTAAACTTGGATGAAGCTTTAACTTGAATATTTGACTTGAATTGCATTGCTTCACTCCGATATTCTGCCAGCCTCCATTAGATATGATCGTTGAAGCACAATTCCATCCATCCTCCAACGGATATGATCATGAAAGCTCTAGTCCATCCATCCTCTAACGTGGATATTTGTGTAGATTACTTAACAAAACAAATGCAAACACTCGACACACGTTGTTAGGAATTGTTTATAATCATCAAAACAAGATTAGGGAATAGGCTCATAAACATGAGGCCAACAAAATGTCCATCTTATTCTCTTACTAGTAAACAACATGTGGAAGTAAACAATAGGTGGAAGTGAATTTTTTATAACTGAATAAAACCCTTAATGACTAGATAAAACCTAATATTTTTCTTTGATGAATTCAAGAATTTATTTTTCATTAATAATAATAGATTTTTTCCGTATTGGTCCTTTACATCATTAATATTTTGAAATTATATATTTAAATTACTAATTAATATTAAATCATTAATATTTTAAGGCTTTAAACATCATTATTACTCTGGAAGACAAAATATTAAAACCACACATGAAAATATCTAAAAAAATTAATATATTATGATAATTATAAAGTTATTTACAACGATGTTACAATAAATAAATAAACCTAAAGTAAATAATTATATTTGACCACGTGCGCATATATTCCTTCTAGTATAATAAGAGAAACACAAAGAAAATGCTACTTAGGCCTTGAATGTATTATATAGTTCACCCTAGTTTGCACTTACATAACTTGTTCTGAAAAAAAGGATATTTTTATAAGAAAAGCTTACAATCGAATCGAATCTAAGACAATTGAGGTTTTCGGAAACTAACTTGTTTTAAAAACTATATATAGCTGCAAAAGAAAATTTTTAGTTCTGAAAAAAAGAAAGAAATAACAGCTTTAAAATGCATTAGGAATGAGTGCAATATACGCGGGTATAATAAATGTTAGATTTAGATTGTATCATAACCGCCTACTAAATAATTAACGATTAAAATAAAAATAGTGCTCTCTTCACTACTTTTTTATAGTATGGAGGATCCAAATTCGCAAATTCTCGCATACCGGCCAGAAAGAAATAAAATAAACAATGAGCCCGTACATAATAAACCTGCATGACATTCAACGCAAACAAATCCTTACATTTTTCTAACGTCGCAAGCTTCTAGCTAGCGACACGCGTTCGCTTTTCCCATTCACAAAACACAGCCATGGATCACCACACCTCGCAAAGCCAACATATACACACATCATATCATACTTTCCAACATTAACAGAAAGGTCCCAAAAAGGTCGCTGAGCCAACATATACACATCACATCATACATTCCAACATATTAGCAGAAAGGTCCCAAAAAGGTCGTTGAGCGCACATCTCGCACCAGCATCATTTGGCTTCATCAGCTGCCGCCTCCCGATCGATGAACACATCGGTCAGAACAGTCCTCGACTGCAGAGAAGCCTCGAGCAGCTTCAGACCCTAACACAAAAAAATCCAATTGAATCGATCAAAAAATGTAGGAAAAAGTTAAAAGAAAATTTCAATTCAGGCTCACCTCGCTCATCCCCAGATTCACCGTCCGCTCCTCAAGCGATCCGACGTCCTTAACATCGAACTTGGCCAGCATCGTGATGCTAGAAAAAGCAGACATTGGCGTAATGGTGAGATCGTCCATCACGGTATAAGTCACCATTCCCTTCACTATCACGGCCATGGAAACCACCTCAGCGGTCATCTGAAGACCGCAAGAACAGCGAGCAGCATAAACATCGGCAGAGCTTGCACAGCTATTAGGGCATCTATATACCTTTCGCCCATTTGTTGGTGTTGGTGTTGGTGTCGAGCTTGTGCCAGTAAAAAACAGAGTATTCTTTGAAATGGGATTTAGGAGACTGGTTCTGCTTTTGTTAGAGACTACCGATGCAGCCCACCATTAATTTTTCTTTGGTAATAAGCTTAATAATTGAGCCTAGTGGCAAGGAGAGGAGGCTGAAGAGGAAATCTACTACCTCTGTCCCTGCTTCTGCAAACAAGAATTTGTTGGTTTTTCTGTCTATCACAAGCTTTAAGCGGAGTTGGGTTGCCATGGGTCTTGTGGAGCTCTTGCTCTTATGTCTCCTTTTATTTAGGGGGTGTTTGTTTTGTATCCCAAAATTTATGGATATGGATTTCACCATAGAATTTGAAATCCATAAATTTTTTTACATGTTTTGGGATCTCTAAAATTTTGTTTGTTTCATCAATATTTTGGGATTTGGAGATAACAATAGCACTTTTATCACACATATTGTATATCGTGCATACTAACTTCTTATATAATGATATATGAAGTTGTAGTATGATATTTCTCTACAAATACTTGAATCGAGTCAAACCTTATATCCCCAGTAAATAGGCGTTTACTCAGTAATTATTATACCTAAGAAACTGCCCATAGTCTAGTATATATTATATACAGAGGAATCCAGCGTTACTATCACTAAGACGCGCTTTGTGACTTACTGCTAGTTATTAAATCATATCGAGTAACGTAATCAATGTATATTCCTATATTTGGAACATATATGATTATATCATATATAATGATATATTGTGATTCGTCGTGTTTCCAATAATGATCATATGTATTATTATAAATTTTACTAATAAATTGTTATTCTACTAGATGTATTCTTCATTTCAGCTGAATCAGGGGCGTCTATTACATCTTAATAATCATTTCAATATGTTATAACCTATACCTTACATTATATGGTGAAGGTTATCATATTATAATATTTGAGTCTACTGTATTTAATGTATATTTTACTTTATTATATAATTATATATAATATATAACAATATAATATATGTACCGATTATATAATTATTATTATATATATATTAAATTATAAATTATATAAATTATTTATATATATATTATATAATATATATATATTATTTATTATATAATATAATATATTATATATATATATATAATGCTACAGTAATTTACTGCAGCATTTACTAAAGCATGAACATTGATTCTTGGGTCCTCCTATAATTATAGAGGAATAGATGTATTATATTAAATATTATATTATTATAATATTATATTTAATATATTAATCTTATATTAATCTTATATTATAAGCATTAATACATCAATATCCAACCTACATCCTCTCTCAATTGTAGGATTTCACAAATTCTAAAATATAATAGTTTTTTTATTATTTGGGGATTCAATATCCCAAAATTTGTTTTGAAACAAACATGGTTTATGGAATTCTAAAACCCAAAAAACTTGTAATCCACCTTATATCCCAAAAAAAAGTTGAAACAAAAGAGATGATTTCACAAATCCTAAAAATATATTATTTTTTTATAATTTAGGGATTCAATATCCAAAAAAAAAAGTGAAACAAACAAAGTTTAAGGAAAACCAAAACTCAAAAAAATCACTTTTTACATCCCAAAATTTGAAATCCACCCTATATCCTAAAAAAAAATGAAACAAACACCCCCTTATAGATTTTGAAATTTTTTTGACCTCTTGCTTTTTCCCTGATTTGGCTTGATGCGACAATACACTGCTGTTTTCACGTTGGAAATCCATACCGCTAGATTTGCAAATCTTGTTCCTTGACCCGCAAAACGCCAAAGAATGGAAAACGAGTTTTATGTTTTCCGATACTGTATTCTATGCGCTTAGGGTCCGTTTGGATTGATTTTTTAGAGCCGTAAAACGAGAAAAGACGATTTTAAGAGAAAGCTGCCAAAAAGCTGATATTTTTGACAGTTTTCCCCCATTTTACACCTCCAAAAAATCAATCCAAACGGGCCCTTAGCACTTAAGTATCGTAATTATTTATTTTTATTTTATTTTTTTACTAAAATTTATTCTTTGATTTTAATTTGATAACTTTTGCTCATTTATGTTTCTAAAATTTAATATGGCGGTTATTTATCTTTTTTTAATATTTATTTGAATGGGCTACACTCAATTTTAAGTTTTATGCTGATAATTGAATTGACACGAAACCAAAATAAAACCAATTGGAATATGCATGTTATTTAAATCGACATGAAACAAAGTTTTACCTAATAAAGTATAGTGCTGTAAAAGTAAAAAATACTTAAAATAGCATTATAATAGTAAAAGGAATAATTAAAACCAATAAGCATAGACGATTGATTAGAAGTGGCTAAAATATGGATCTTATTCCTAATCATCGATAGACTTCATTAAAAACCATAAACTAAACATTAATGCTAATTATAATAAAATTTTATATGATAAAAGCATTCACAAAATAAGTATTAAAATATTTAAATTTCGTGAAAATCTCTTCCAAATATTTCTAATTTTACTCAAAAAATTAGGTTGTTCTATAAAATATTAAGACAATATTGTCTTTTATACTTTCCATTTTATTTTTTATTGAGCTAAGATCAAGCTTTTTCATTTTTCACGAATGTGATCGTTGGCCAGGCAGCCCGGGCCTAACCCTGTCCCGGCCTGGTCCGAACGGCCATAACGACTATTTTTACGCTTGTGACCAAATACCCTAAAAACGGTCAAAAAAGGCCAAAATTTGAAGGTGTTTTGATCATTTGGCTAGGGGGCTGCCTCTATAAATAGAGAGGGTTTTTATTTATTTTTCTCATCCAAAACTCATTTACTTCTCTTTAATACTCTCTAATACTTTCTTATTTGCGTTTTTGCTCTCTAATTCTTCAATCAAATGGTTTCCTCCTCTGCTTATGAAGGGCAAATCCCAACTCCCGATATTGAAACGAGGCATAATACTCCTACTACAGGAGCTACAGTTACTCCTCCTACCGGTGTTGATCATGAATCCGGTGGCGATGATTCTGCACCTAGAGCTTCTAAAAGGCCGAGATCCGATGTGTGGAACTTCTTCGAGAAGATAGAAGTCACCGGTGATCAATACGGTAGGCTTCAAGCCTTGAATTTTAATTTCAAGAAAAACTCAGCTTCAAACCTTTCTCATATTTTGATCAGCATAATCTGAACTAATTAAAATACCTCATCAATTGAAAACTCGATCATGGGGGAAAAATTCAAAATTGGATCAAAAGCCTGAGAACAGCAGAAAACATAAAATGCTAAGGACCCGCACTATAAACTTAATGCTGACGTTTTCGGCGCCTTTGGAGCAACGACATTGTTCAGTGCATTGCAAGATATCATACAATCTTTCAACAAGTCTAAAGCCTGCAACATAGAAAATATTACAATAAATTTCTCCTAGCAAAATGAGGATTTTATATATTTACCAAAAGGCTCAACAATCACAGTGCGCTCATACACATGCAGACAGACATGCACACAGACATGCACAAGCATCAAAAGACACAAGAATACAAACAATACATAATAACTTGTTTATGTAGTTCTCATCTATCATTCACTAATTTCTCAATAGGATGTTGAGAAGATTTTTCCTAATTCAGAAAATAACAGGAACCAAAAGAAAAAAAGTACAGGATCTCTTGAAATTCTAATTTTTGTGTTTGTTTCGCCTCAAATCAAAAGTGGAAGATAATTTTCATGTCAATTCATTGTTTAGTTGGTAACTAATTTTTTAAGACACTTGTTACAACATCCTCCAATTTTCCTATTCTTCAATAATAGATTTATAATCCATGCGGAGCTCCAAGCTAGCAATTTGCTTTCCTTGTTTTAATGACAAGTCACGCGTTTTCTTCCGAAATTTTCCATAAATTTGCTTGCGAATCAAACTGAAGAAACAAAAACATTCTGATCTACTTTTATTTTGTTGGAAAATTTGCTTCAAGGCCCCAAGATTGAAAAAACAATGTGCAACAGCTCCTTGTACTTTTAATGTTTGGTATAAACCCAAAATACACTCCAAAAGTTCATTTCAGCCCCTCCAGCTCACGAGAGTGAGCTGTAACTCTCAGAAACCCGACTCTACCCTTCCCGCTCACTCCGCTACAGCCTCCGTGCGTTGGCAACGATGCCGCCCACTCCGTTACTATCGCGACGCTCTCTCTCTCTCTCCTCTCTCCCTCCCGCACTCTGTCTTTGGCTTTCCCTCCGGCGAAAAACCAAAATCTGCACTCTAGGGTTAGGTCGAAACCGGATCGAAGATGGAGAAAAAATCGGCGAACGAATTCGAAGTTGTTCACCATCCTCCGCCGTCGCTGCAACGTCAGGAACATGCACCGATGAACGACGAGCGAGAAGGCTCGTCGTCGCCTTCCAAGATCGACGAAGATCCCCCTCGCCTTCCAAGACGGACGAAGACCCCCCTTTGTTATTTGAGACCGACAGTGATACCGATTCTCTCACATCCTCCCCCGCCTCCAAGTCTTCGTCCACCCATGCGTCATCATCAGGGAATGGCAGCACCGATGAAGCCATCCAAACGTTGTTGAGTTTCCAAAAGGGTGTAAGGAGAAAAAAAATTACAAGTTCACTAAACGCACCACATAAATCCATAAAGAAGTAAGATAAAGTTATATGTTATATTTTCCAATTTAGATAGATGCTATAGATTTAGGTGAATTGTGAACTATATACCTGGACATTGGTTGAAGGACATGTTAGCTGATACCTTAATGTTAAATGTGAACTATATACCTCTTATTAATATTAAGTTTGGCTGTTGTTTGTTAAGGTTTATAGCGTAACTGTTACAGTTCATCGTTGCATGTTAACTATTGGATGTTGGATGTTAAGTGTGGTTGATGTTAAATGTTTAATTATAATACAGGAAAAAGTCAGGTGCTGCTGAAATTAGACCCACTGCTAGTTTCGCCACATATTGTAAATTTATGAAAGTCCTCGAACCGAGAATGCGGCAGTGTCATTAGGATGCATACCAAGGGTGTACATTCTAGCATTATGTAAAGTTTGGCCGCCCAGCGGTAGATCGACTCACGTTGGAACTTGTATTGAGTCACTATATGGGTAATGAAGTAGCGTTTTCTCTGCCCGATGCCGAAAGTGGGAGAGAAAAGATTGTTAATTTTGATATGGACTGGGTGCATGAACATACAGATTTCCCAATTGATGGGAAAATAATTTACAATAATAAATATCCTTTCCCTAGGC